GCTTTGAAAAGTTGTAATATGGTGCTACGAATGGCGAGACTCACTGACGATGCCGGCCAGACGTCTGGGAATGTACCACGTCCACGGTCCTACTCTGGAAATGATGATGCATGCAATGGACTCCGGACTAGGTGCCATCCTCTAAGTCTTCCTACCAATATGAAAACAAGGTCAAACAACTTATATACAACGAAAGGAGACTTCGACCACACAAAAGGCCACACCATCTTGGTCTTCATACCTTTGATTATCCATATAACCCTTGTCTAATAGTGTTGTTGCTTGAGGTATGATAAATAAATTCTTATCCATTTCTTGATATTTTGTCCTTATGTAAGTGTATGTGCACCTCCTTCCTACAAACAATCATGTTTTTGGCCTTATTTCTTCTCAATCCAGATCTACGACTATGAAAATATGTGCTGTCTGGAGACCGTTTCAGTGGGCTGGAAGGTTGGTGGTGGACTTACTGATATGGCAGTTGCTGCCAGTTTTAATCAACTCGTTGGTGCCTCTATTTGTCAGTCTGTGGTCACCACGTACGTCGTAGACGTTAAGTCCTGTTTGCCTTTCACCAGCTCTTCTCCCGTACATCCGTCCTCTCCAGCTAAGACTAATGTTTCATTTCCTTCGACCGACAATTTTGTTGCTGCAACAAATGCTTCCATACCATTAGTTTCTACTTGTACTCCATCAGTAACCACCAGTGCAGCTTCATCAATAGCACAGACCGATCAGCCCTCTCAGACGGAGATGCAGATGATGCGACGCGAGTCTTTTTATGCTGCCAAACAAGAAGCAATGGTTTCCCCTGCCATTCAGGTATTTGATATTCGACTTATACATTCATTTTCCTGAAGTACACAAGTATGGTACTTTGTTACCTGATTCTAAAATATGTATTAATATCAAAATCGGTTTAATTTTTTCGCGTTTCCAGCCTCCAATTGATTATGGTAAATTGCTTTAACCTTTTTTTATTTTTTTGAAATTTTGATGCTTAGCAAAACCATCAAAATTGACTCTACTTTGGACTTTAGCTTAATTCTTTCTATAACAGCTTATTGTTATTCATTTCTTGGTGCCGAAACTATGATAAATGCCAAGTCAAATTAGGTTTTAACTTCTTAATAATTAATCGAATTTTCATTAGAATCATGTAATTGTTTATTTATGCTGTTATCTCACTTTTGTAATTACTCATTTTGTAATCAAGTAGCTATTTTTTCTCATCTAACCAGTTCGCCACAATTTCAAATTTCCAATTCTAAATTTTATTTTATGTCCAGAAAGTATAGCGAATTTCTAAAATAAAATTTTCAATATTTTTCGTACATAAGCAGAGTTTCGAGATTACCAATAAATCAGTTATATGAGATATATTCACTCTATTTCGTTTAAGGTGATAAAGGACTGGTAGTAGAATTTTCCCACAATTATATGAGTATAGTTCATGTTTCCATTAAATTTCACATAGCCTTTCTTTTCCAAATGTTGTTTTCTTACAGGGTGGACTGCAGTTTCGACCTTGGAATGGATACATCAGTTCTTATCATATCATTCTGGGAAAATTCCACTACCAGTCCTTTATCACCTTAAGCAACATAGGGTAAATACATCTCATATAACTGATTTACTGGTGGCCTTGAAACTCTGCTTATATACAGAAAAAAGTAATGCAGTCGATTGTTATAGCAAAAATACGTTTGCTTCATGGACAATCTCGCCAAAGAATGTAATATGGAAAAACCCTGATTTTCCTTAAAATTCACATCTGCCTTGTGACCCAAGGGCACTCGTGGCAATGCGGCTGAGTGGTTAACATGAAGCTCACATGCTGCACTATCACGGTTCTACTCCCGCTGAGGGCGTTGATAATACCTAGGCTGAAACTGCAATCCACCCTGAATGAGAACAACTTTTGGGTAAGCAAGGCTCTGTGAAATTCAATGGAAACGTCAGCTCTACTCATTTCATTGTGGGAAAATTCTACTAACGGTCCTTCATCACCTTAAACGAAACAGGATGAATACATCTCATAGAAAGTTTTTTAAGACTTATTTATATCCGGCTCTAAAATTCGAATTTACATTCGAATTGAAATAAGAAAAAAAGGTAGCTGAATAAGAGGTGATGGAGAATCGTCTTGGAGAAACGCAATACAAGTTAAATTTAAGTTCTGACTTGAGTGGAGAAATAACACTATAAACTAAGACTTAATTTGTTTTGACTAATTTGTTGATGTTTTCGGATATTATCAGAGCTAGAACACATTCTCACAAAGGCTTAAGTTAAAGCTAAGTCAGGAAGAAAAACTAGCTCCATTTTACATGCTACATATATGTACGCTCAAAACTGAAGGCGAAAATATATAGATAAAGATATATGGATATAAAAATGATATAGTTAGTTTTTTTCAGTACAATCTAAGTATTCATATGGTTGTGTCTATGTTCGCGTGTATTTCTGTTTTTTCGTATTTAAATCACTACTATAGGAAATTACAGTAACACCTAACATCAGTCCTAGGTCACCAAGGTTTAATGACCTAATGAAAATAATGTCCTGGGGTTGCAGAGTCCTGTACGCCTGTTGGAGTTCATGAGCCTAACATAACTGGTGAATGAATGTGGATATAACTAGAGTCATCACTGATCTGGCCAGTGGCTTTCCTCTTTTTAGTGGTTCAGCACCATATTCTTTAAGTCAAGCATGAATAGTTTTTACTTGATTTCCTATCTTAATTCCTTGCATTTAGGGTATTCATTAATCCATAAATTTATCTTGGGCCTATCTAGTGTCAGGTTTCTGCCATTCACTCTTACTCCAAATTACACATACAGAAACAAATACACCACCGCATAGGTACAACAATATAAGTACTCAGATTAAAATAAAGAATAAATAATAGATTAATTCTATATCTTTCATTCATTGACCTCTGGACCGTTATTGCCAATTTTTATAAGACGACAAACCTATATGCACACCTTGACTGTATTGAGTATTTATCCAGATTATGCTCACCTGGATTAGTCAAAATATTTTCCTAAGATCCTTGCTTCCACTGGAACTGTCTTTCTAATTTCTTCGGCGATATTGGCTCGAAAGTTATTAGGCCAAATGGTCACCACCTTATTACTACTGCTTTTTCCTTTCTTAAATTTATCATGCTTACTTAATCTCATAAATTCGTCATGATTGCACTTGTTTTTCATAATGGCTGGTCATGGTGACCTAATGCATTCTACCTCATTTTATTCCTGCTCATATCCGCAAGATAAAGTTGTATCATCCTATTCGCGCTTTGCTTGCCTTGCCTCCGCGAATCAGTCGTCTAAATATATATTCACCATTGGATTTTCGAATGTTTTTGGAAATACTTGCATATACTTCAGGTAGTCAAACCTTCGATGCTTTGGTTGAGTTTATATAATTGTTGGACTTACTTCCATTTCGAGTAGAAGTGTTTG